AGAAGTCATTCTATGACTGATCCAACATTTTACAGTTCAGAAGTGTATAATACATTTTATTGCATGTATCACGTCATTATCCAGCATTCTTGAAGCTGACGCTATCCAATTATAACCAGTGCTTTTCAAAAATAAGTTGCGGTTCAACTAAAACTACAAGAAACTCGCCGTTTTGGGCGAGTAATCATAACTATAATTGACTGAAAAAATCAGTTTGGAAATGACTGAAGAGTATTACCGAAAACAGGAGAAAATGGCGCCAATTGAATTGGCGCTATTACCTAATAGCACTTATCAATGCTCAGGAAATACATATCATGTAGATATCTTAATAATCTATTAAACAGCCTGAATATATTCAGCCTTTCAGAAAGATTCAATAAAAATATTTGTACATTATAGAATAGTTTTTGAAAGCAAGAATAATTTTTTGAAAGGTCCCTCCAATTTCTGTTTGAAAAATTATCGTTTATTACGTATAAGAACATATTTTTACATTAGAAAGTTTTTTCTAACGTATCAAACATGTTGAAATTTAATATATTCAATAAAATATGGAAACTGCAACAGTTGATTTCGTTGCAATGTTTGAATTATTTGTTTCCAAGTAATTTCCAACTAATTTAGTTGTAATGAACAAGTTGGTGATGATTCGAAAATGAATAGACTACACTTGAATGAATTCCCAATACAAAGTAGAACACGATGTGATGTACTGTTCACAGTATTCAAGTTCTAGAAATAATATTTTATGGCACACTTTCCTAGCTACTAAATCATTATGCTATCAAAAATATGATTTCATAGGAAAACCTTTCAAAATACTATGATTTCTGTTACCGACCGTTATGTTTCCGATTCTTTTCAGTTTTTTTTTGACAATCACTATTATTCATAAAATACATGAAACCAATGTACAAATAAATTAAGTCACAACAATGTTAACAGGTAAAGTCTAAGTATATGATCTAACAGGTTTAATATTCCCGAAGAACACTTGAAATACTGAAGGAGGGAATTGAACAGTTTATTATTCACCATAAACCACCAAGGTGACAATGTTTTAGTTTAATCTTCTATGTTTAATAACAAATTTGAGAACTGTAGGCCACAATTCACGATTATCTCATTTTTTTTCCAACAAGGTGCCCACCAAATAAAAATTCTTGGGTACTTCAAGACAAAGCCTAAAATTACATATAAGTTACATTACAACATAATAAAGGAATAAAAAATCCACCTAGACCAACAAAAAATTAAATTCGATAAAAAGTCAATAAAGAGATACATTTAACCTCAGCAACCAAGCATTTATCAGAGTAGGTAGTTGGGAGAGATGTATATTTCAAGATTTAATTTCGAAATATCATTTTCTAGTGAGTATACGGTCCGACCCGTGTTAGGAATCACACGTTAAAAGGTGAGACCTCGTTAGTCCTGAGGGTTGTCGTTCGTAGGGGTGCGACAGCTGGTTAACGAAAAAAACAGACAGTATGCATCTCTTCTCAATACAGTCTTCAGACATGGTTTGATCTTTGTTCACGAGATGGCGCTGTTACTAGTTAACCATCTTCCTCTCGAAAGAAGGTTTCATATATGCAGTCCCAGGTACTTTACTGTTTAGTTTGGATGTTTCCTCACTGATAAAAGTTAATACCTCAAAACCGATCTGTAGGTAACCTTTTCCTATAATTTTAACACGTTCCTGCTGTTGGATGAACAAGAAATTCAATGTCCAGCGTGGTATTAGCTGGGGAAGTAGTTTTTTTTCGGCTGGCATTCACCAGAACCTACGGTGTAGGTAGTTGGGAGAGATAAATATTTCGAGATTTGATTAATGAATACTATTGTTAATAGTCCTACTTTCATTTTTGAATATGACTTTAAATCAATAAATACGACTGTCAATAACACATTAATGAATAAATTAAATACTAACTCAGAACATCCTAACTTAATTAATATAACTGGTCCAAGATAAATCCAAGTTTAAAGTCAAAATTTTGAGATTCGAGTCAAAATTTTGTAATTTAATGTAGAAATTTCCGGATATAAAAGTTGAAATTTCTATTTTTTTAGAATTGAAGATTTAGTCTAGATTAGGACATATCAATTAGAACATCTAGTTCAAATATACTCAAATAGAGAGAAAAGTTGGCATTTCTTATTTAGGTCTTTATGTTATCATAATTCCATATCAATTACTACTGTAGATGTAGATTAAATATTGTAAAAATGATAATATAAGTAGTTGCAAAAAAAGTTAACCGTGTGTTCAGTCAGTTGAGAAGTTTATTGAAATCTCGGTTTTCCAAATTGGTAGGCACCCTGAATGAATTTTATATAACAAAATATA